AAATCTCCATTAACTATGAATGGAAAATAAAAATTCCACATACAATGGAATTTTATCCTGATGTAAGGGAATATTAATTTTTCAGGCAAATGGACAAACTGTAGAACATCTTACTATATGAGGTAACCCAGACCCAGAAAAGAAATGTTGCATATTTTCATTTGGGGGGATCCTAGTGTTGAACCTTTAGATCTTTAACTTGGATCTCCTGTAGAACCCAGGGAGCTAGTCCCTTTCTAGCTTCATTTGTAGGAAGGGAGAAGAATGAGAAAAATTAGTGGGAATAGTAGAACACAGATGATATGAAGGCAAAGGGAGAATAGCAGGCAAGGAGGTGTAAATAGCAAGATTGCTCTTTTATAATGCAAAGGATTTTAATTTCTTAAAACTAAGATGACGTGAGTATGAAAGAAATTTCCCTAAATAAGTTTCTATTAATATAATTTACATCTGAGTTAAGAGTTGATTTATCCATGAAACTAAATATTGATCTGAGAAATAAAATTAAATCTAGCAATTTATTCTCCAGTTTCTATGTAAGCACAATAAACATATCACAAAGTCAATCTCACTTTCATTGTTACTGCCCTCTGGCACTTGTTCCTCATACATTTGGAGAAATTGGAATTTTATTTATGTGTAGAAATTTAAGGGCTCAACTGAGCATCCTCATTTTGTAGAAAAATATAGTAATAAGGTATATGAAATTCATTTAATCTATCCTTTACTTTTTCTCATTGCTGTGACCAAATGTTGGAAGAGTATTAGAGAGAGGAGGCTTAACCTAGTTCATGGTTTTAGGGCATTGCTGTGTTATGGGAGTTTATTCTGTCAATAGTTTTGGGAAGAGGAGGGGTCTTTTAGTTAAGGAAGAGGAGGGGTCTAGCTCACTCTCTTGAGAGGTCCCATCAGAAGCAAGGCTTGCAGTTGTTCACATCTCTCCTGGGCAGAATGACAGGTTATAGTGGCTGGATCCATTATCCTTTATTGGTGAGTTTATATTTCCTGTTGAATCCCTATAATAAAAAATTTTGTAAATTCTCACATTGCGGATGGGGCAGAGAAGAAACAACAGCAGAGGGTCCTTCAGTTGTGACCACTTACTTCCTCCCATAGGAAGGTGAGAGCAATATGAAGCAGAGAACAAGGACTTCTGGAGTCTCCTCCATTTTCAACCAGTCAGGACTCCAAGCCTACAGAAGGGTATTACTTATATTCTGTAGTGTGCCTTCCCACCTTAGTTAGACTTCTGAAGAAACAATATCGCAGACACACCCTGAAGTGTGTCACCCAGCTGATTCCAAATCCACTTGAGTTGACAATGAACATTAAGTATTAATCATACATTTTATTAAGCTACATGACAGTCCAAATGTTTCAAAATAAATTAAAACTACTGCTATAGCAATTTAGTAACCTTTTAAAAACTTACTATGGAAAAACAACTTACTATGGAACATATTTCATTTTACACGATGATATTTTCTACTGATATTCCCATAGTATATGAAACTGTACTGTTTTTAAGATATGAAGGCCAACCCTATTCAGTTTTCTTTCATTTTCTTTCTTAGGAAAAGAAGCCAAGAGTTTTGTTTGCTGCTGTTATGTTTGCTGTGAGAAGTTTGATTTAACTTAGCATGGCTTTTTAAAGGCTTTTACAAACAATTCCTGCAGGCCAATAATAGCCATAGATTTACTTAGTATAGTTTGCCAAAGGATGATGATGAAGAAATGGAGAGCAGGGCATGAGTCATGACTTCTGTGTAGCATTTGTTTGATTATATTTTATTTCTTTAGGCCCTGATTGATTTATTTTAGTCAATACAGTAGTGGACTACTTGGTAAAGAAAGACTTAATGACTAATATTTTTCCATAACAAATAAAAATAACCAAACATGTACCCAGAGGTATTTTTCTTTTTTTTTAACCTTTGTGACACTGGATTATTTTGTAGTAGATATTTAAGATGTTTTATACTTTATTTTTTAAAAGTTTAAGAAGTTTTAAATAGAAAATAATAATCTTAGACTTACCTTATTTTACCTTATTCTCACATTTTATAATTAGAGTTCATTTGTCAGAAAATGTATGTTTGTGTTATTCCAGATGAAATACATATCTGGATATACTCAAATCTATATCATGTAATGTTCATTCTCTTCCTTTTCCTATTGCTTTAAGGTTGGAAAGTCCTTTCCTTTAGTGATTATTTTACTATGTGACCAAGGAAGAAATGTTCTGTGAATTGTTTCCATAGCCTGCATTTCACAGATGCTGTGTCAAACTAATTTTGAAGGAAATTGCTTTGCACTATATCCTACCATATATTATAAATGTTACAAATTAATTGAAAACCAATCATATACTCATCACAAAATTGGGTCATATGGATTTATCTGAAGACATTTGTGGATGATAGAGTTTCCTTTCCTTCCTCAGATAATTAATATTCCTACTAATAATACTTTGTATTTATTCCCAGGCTTCCCTTTAAGAGCGTTGGCACTTTACTGTGTACACTTATTTTATAAAAGATTTATTTAATATATATATGAATATATGTTGTGTCTGCATGTACATATATCTGTACACCAGAAGAGGTCATCTTATCCCATGATACTATAGGTATAGTTGGTTTCAAGTCATTCTATGGGTGCTGGGAATTGAACTCATGACCTCTGAAACAGCAGCCAGTGCTTTTATACATTGAGCCATTTTCCAGTTCACATGTATAATTTAGAGTAGAAATATAACTTGCTGCCTTAGAAATTTTATTCTCAGAATGGAATGCTTAAACTATTTTTGGAAATTTATTATTTGTATATTTGGAGAAGAATATGTTTTTTTCCCATGAAGATATTCAAAGGTTCAAATAACAAAACAACTGGAAGTAGTGTGTTTTGTCAAATCACTTTAGGAAAGCATACTACAAGCCTTGAGGAGAAGGTATGTGGAAATTCTTATTCCTCGCATTTTTTCAGATTCACTTTCCAAGAACATACTTAGAAAGACATCCTTTATCTTACAGTGATTCAACTGCTCATTTTATCCTGTATTTTTATCTAAAAGGCTGACCCACTGCCACTGACTCTCCTCCCCCTCCAAAACAAACTAGTATGCAGAGTGACACTATTTGCTTTCCGTCTCTTGGAAAAATATACCAAAAGAATTCTGCTTAGCACAAAGCTCCACAGTTAGGAGATTGACAATACAATTGAAAATTCAAAAGCAGCATGACTACCAGTACTCACTCACCCTGATTACTAAAATAAACAAGCCAATAAATTCTTAATTCATATCCAAATAATGTCTGAAGAGAACGATTTAGGAACCTTTAACAAATCTCTTGGGACTGAGATCAGGATCTGAAACAGACCATGTGAACATCCAACAGGCACTTCCCTGGGCATATCTCTGTGCCAGCAGTCTCGAGCTGTGTCTGGGGCCCTTCCATGATCCCTGGCTGCCCAGATCATTCCTGGCTGTATCACCCTCATTGTTATTGTCCTCATCACACTGTAATGACCTAAATATTTCAGACTTTGTTTTTTCAAAGGTCATTAGACCTACTATTTTTTCTATATAGATTTCTCTTTTGTAAGGAAACTGCTATCTGTCACAGGAAACTCATACACACAAGAGTACAATTTTATTATACACTGTACTTAGTAGACAGTATATTTGAATTATGAAGAGAATTATAGGTAGCACAATATCTAGCAAGGATTTTCGTGTATTTCTCTTTTAAATGCAATATTTAGTAACTGAAACATTGTTTTTGAGTCAGACTGTATAGAAAACACATGAGGTACTCTGTTTGAGGGGTAAACTTTTCTTTCTCTGGTGGCATGCTTAAGTGTTTGGTTACTTTTGAGATTTTTTTTTCAATTCCTCAAACTTACTCACTTGTGCAATAGAGAACCGAGGGCAGGAATGTTCAGCTAGCACTAAATATTGACTTCTGGAACAGTGGTTTATGCCAAAGGTGAATTTTATATCTCTCTCCATGTGTACACTCAGCAGTGACTCAGGACATCGAGGGTTGTCATGACTTGGGAACTGAGGATGGGAATTCTCTGGAGGTGTGAGTGTGTATAGACCTGAGTCTGCTACACACCCACAGTAAACAAGGCAGTCCCCACAATGCTTCCCGCCTAGAATGCCACACTAGCACAGCGTGGTTGGAGCACTTAAGGGTACTAGGGATGATGAGGGTGAGAAGAGACCAGCCTGAGATCCAGAGCCTAAACCACACAGCTAGCAGGTCTTCCCCAGACCTGAAACAGCAGAAAAGACAGATTCTGCAAACCTGAGATTTCGAATGCTGTATTTGTATGTTCCCTTGCACCTAGAAATTCCTGGTCAGGTCCAGGTTCTGGGGACCAGAGCTGAAATTATGTCAAATCAGACCTTCCTGGAGTCTGGCCTTCTATTGCCTACCTTCCATGAGTTATGTGATCTCCTTCCCACTTGGAGCACCTTGTGGAGAAGGTACATCCATCCTCACACACCACACTTCCAGCAGTTCTCCAGCCTAAAAGCTATCATGCATGGTTATTCAAATTCTCCTTGACTAGGGACTTTTAAAAGGTTAATAAACCATTTAATTGCAATGATTAGCTCGTTAAGCATCTTTACTCAATTTCAGTTCCCCAGATAAGCATCATTCAAAGACCCGAGCTGCACCAAGTGACCCTATTAACAAGGTCAATGATTTGTCATCCATTCGAAAGCACTGGAGAGTCTAAGGGAAAACATACAATAAACCACACATCCCCCACAGTCATTATATAGAAAGGAGAGAGAGAAAGTTCCCAGTCCCACCGCGTGCCCCTTTTGTGCTATTCCTGCAAACGCAGCAGACCTCCTGCTATATAGACCCTGCTCCCAGCCCTACACACCCAACAGCACCATCCCATCTGAACCGCCAACACCAGCCATGGGGAAGGTGAGCACTGGGTACCCAGGGCCTGGGGAGGGACCTGCCCTCGGGTCCATGCCACATGAGGTCACTGAGCCCTGCCTTGCCTTACAGATCACCTTCTATGAGGACCGCGGCTTCCAGGGTCGCCACTATGAGTGCAGCAGCGACCACTCCAACCTGCAGCCCTATTTCAGCCGCTGTAACTCTGTACGCGTGGACAGTGGCTGCTGGATGCTCTATGAGCAGCCCAACTTTGCAGGCTGCCAGTACTTCCTGCGGCGTGGGGACTACCCTGACTACCAGCAGTGGATGGGCTTCAGCGACTCCATCCGCTCCTGCCGCCTCATCCCCCACGTGAGTCCCTTCTTACACCCCTCTGGCCTCAATCTCGTCTTCTCCTTGATCTAGTTATACTTCGAGCTGAGGGAAGGGGTGGATGCGACCCTTCCTTGTGAGGATTTGCTAGGATTCGGGAAAATGAAGCAAACCTTTGACACTTGAAATTTAAGACAGACCTAAGACAGACCCCTAACTGCTCTTCAGTTCTCCCACTTAACAGAAATAGCTGGGGTGATGGGGTGGGGGTTCTTTTGGTGAGTCCTGCAGTGTGACAGGTCGGGTTTTCTGACATCCCCTTGTCTACTCTGCGTGTCGTGTGTCGTACAGTCCGGCTCTCACAGGATCAGGATCTATGAGCGGGAGGACTACAGAGGCCAGATGGTGGAGATCACCGACGATTGCTCCCACCTCCAGGACCGCCTCCGCTTCAGTGACTTCCACTCCTTCCACGTGCTGGAGGGCTACTGGGTCCTCTACGAGATGCCCAACTACCGGGGGCGCCAGTACCTGCTGAGGCCCGGGGAGTACCGACGCTACCACGACTGGGGCGCCATGAATGCTAGGGTGGGCTCTCTGAGGCGAGTCATGGATTTCTATTGAAATTTCTTTCTCTGGTCTTTAGTCATTTGGAAGTTAATAAAATATTTCCTGTGTGTTCCATGCAGTAATGGGATCCTCTGTTCTTTTTTGCTTTCTTGGAAGGTCATAGCAAAACTGTAGACAGGAAAAATATGTATATTCTTATATTCAGTGTGTGTTGTGGGCTGAGTGGCCAGGAGCTTAACCTCAGGACCCTGGACCTCAATTACACACTAGCTGCAGGTGGTAGGGCAAGCTACTTGGCATTTCTGTGCCTTAGTTTCCAAATTTGTTAAGATGGGAGTAGTAATACTTCTCTTGAGGCGTTGATGGGGATTGCATGAGTTTACATTTTTGTATCATGGACAATGGCTTTGCTCTATCAGTATCTCAGTAAGCTCGCATGTAGAGTATTCTATCTCCTCAGTCGTTTCACTTGACACTCTTTTGGGGTGATTGAATGCAGGAGAATGGCTAAATAAAATTGCATCAGTGGGCGATAGAGTTAAAGAGTTATGTGTTAGCACAGCCATTGCTGACACATCCAAAGAGTCTAAAACTAAGGGGTTGAATAAAGAGATTTTTAAATATTTTACATGCTGAGAGCACAAATATGTGAACCAAGGACCATCTTTTAAAAGAATCCAGAAAACTCTTTCAAATGTCATTTCTCAAGAAGCTATGTAGCACTTGGCAGGGTAGACTGCAGTAAACAGGTACTGTGTATGTTCTATGTATGAGTAAGAGCTGACAGTACATGGTTAGGGGAATACATGACGGAATACAAAGCTCATAAGCATATAATGGACCTGGAAGATATTATCCCCAAACTTGGATCAATCATTGTGTCATTGAACTCACCAGTATCTTTTGGTAACAACTCTTTCACTAAAAATGGGGGGAGAGGAACCTGAGGACTTGTTTGGGGAAAGCTCAAGACGACTTTTCAGCAAGGAGTCATGAAAAGAAATCTAAGCAGGCATTGTGTTATACCAAACAGGTCTCAATGTATAAATGCTGCATTTTCTGTGTTCACATGGAAAGGGGGAAAAGCAAATTGATATATAGCTCATGATTTTTGCTTTAATAATGAAAATGACAACTCTTAGAAGTAAAATTACAGTAAACTAAATAATTTTCATTTCTTACCCAATATACTTGCAGGCTCCAAGATAGTTGGAGAATCTCTGAGAACATTTTAGAGTAGTTGTGTCTATTACACTTGTGCATATGAACACTAGAAATGAGTTTAGTCTGAGGGAAGATATATCCTAAGCATAAAATAGCCACCACAATCTAAAGACTCAGTTTGAAAAGCACAAATATCCTATTAATTTTTTTTGCATATAACTTAATGTTTAAAGAATAGTATTTTGTATATTGGAATAAAATATATAGTAAATAAAATTAAAACCAACTTCATTCATACTATTTAACTTTTTAAATACAGTCTTTTTTAAACTTTTAAAACATAAGCCTTAAATTTAAGATTACATTCCTTACTAAATTTCCCTACTGAGCAGTGATGATGGCGGCATTTAGGCAGGATACATGATAAATGGGAATTTGTGTTCAGAAAACACTCAGACATTAGCATTTGGGTTTGAGATGTTCTGGCATGAAATTGGGTTATTCTGAGAGTTTAATTAACAGCAGGTAAAATATTCAAGAATTGCAATCAGTAATTCCCCTGTGAGGAAATGCTCAATTGAACTATAATCTTCACTTGTCATCAATGAAAGAGAATGAGGGGAGAATAAGTCCCACGCTGGTATTGTGAGAGCCCCATTGAAATGTTCCAAAGAACTAAAATGTCAATAGCAAACATGGACCCCGCTGAAATAGGTTACTACTTGGTAGATCCCACCAGTCTGCCCTTGTGAAGTGATAGCTATTCAGGTCCTGTGTTTTCAGTCTGGAGTCTTGTCTATTTGGCTTGCATACTCAATTCTGAGACTCCGCAGATTCCTGACACATCCACATCCCCTGAAATATCTAGTAGAGTGCATTGTGTGCAGGGTAGACTCATGAATGAACAGAAACATGTGCCTCAGATGTTGCTGGCCTTACCTGGCCTACCATTTACAGTTATATAAAGGCAGTAGGAAGCACTTCTACTATCTTTCCTCTGTGCACATTTTGTTTTTATCCCTATCCCATCATCTTCACGGTGCTTCTTTTTTTATTCACTTTAGTTTTCAACTATTGAAGGACAACTTGAAGGAGAATTCCAGAGGCATTTTGCATAACAATAGATCTAGCACAGCCATAGATTTCTTTTTATTTTGTTGTTGTTAGATCCAAAACATAAATTCTTACTCTAGATAACAATTAATAATGAAAGCCCTTGTAAAGTAGTAATTTCTGAGGAGTTAGGATGAGATAGTCACCTACAAAACATTATTTGGGGGAAGCAAGTACCACAGTCTAAGAGAGGTAACAGGAGTAAACCCTTTGGGAACCAGGGCAGTAAGAAGAATGTCAAAGTTACAGGTAGATAATGGTAGGGAAAGTACCAGAAAATACATGCCTTACCTAAAGGCATAGGAACACAAACATCTTAAAGCACATGTAATTCAGTCAGTCCTAAGGGTATTTTGTTTGTTATCACTGACCAAATAGAGTTTCTCCTAAAAAATGAATATTCAGGCCAAAAGAGACAGGCTTAAAAATTCCATTTATCACTATATTCTACCATTGTCTGGTTCTGTTCAATACCCCTTATTATGGATGACTTCTTACATGTCCCACTGATTTTCCATTGAGACTGTGCTGAAGATTTCTATGTCAACTCACACAAGCCAAAGTCATCTGAAAGGAGGGAACCTCAATTAATAAAATGCCTTCATAAGCTTGGGCTCTAGGAAGACGTATAGGATATTTTCTCAATTAGTGACTAATGAGGTGAGGGCCCAGTCTATTGTGGATGGTGCTATTCCTGGGTTTTGTAAGAAAGCAGGCCAACAGGAACAGGTCAGTAAGCAGCACTACCCACCATGGCCTCTGCATCAGCTCCTGCCTCCAGGTTCCTGCACTGCTTGGGTGCCCATCCTGACTTCCTCCAATGGTGAACAGTGGAAGTGTAAGTCACAGAAACCCTTTCCTTCTCAATTTGCTTTTGGTCATGACATTTTATCACAGCAATAATAATCTTTATTAAGATTGAATGCATCTACATTCTCTAGAGTGGAAGTAATATTCCCACTGAGAGCCACAGCAGAAACAAAAGTGGCCAAACATAAATCAGAAACTGGGCTACGATTCCACCTTGAATTCTCCCTGGCCTTAAATGACCTGCAATTTATAGTCACACATAAGGGGTTTTCTAGCCTTTTTCCTCTGTGCACTTGTACACTTTACAGTTTTTACACTTGTGCACTTTTACACTTTTTAGAGTTGTACACTTTTACAGTTTTTACACTTGTACACTTTTACACTTTTTACACTCTTACACTCTTACACTTTTTACACTTGTACACTTTTTCCTCTGTGCACTTGACACTTTTTGTTTTGCCTCTACCCCCATCTTCTTCCTGAGCCTTCCAATATATTCACTTTACTTTTTCAACTATTGAAAGAAAATAAGACAAAATGGACAATTAAAGAAGGACCACAGAGGAGCAGTGACAGACACAGCTTTTTGTTAGCTCTGAAGAATATCTTATTACTCTGGACAAGAAGTAATAATGAAGTACTGCATTAAGTGCGGGACTCAGAGGGAGACGTTTTCCCTTCATGATGCAGAACAGCACTTGACAGTGTTTGTCAAATAGCTAGCTGAGAGAAACATTTATAGAAATTTAAATCTAAAATCTAGAGAAATGGGGCATGGTTCATTCATGAACTACTTATTAACATGCCTAGAAGAAAACATGAATACTCTATGCTGTCTTTGTGAATAGATATTAATAGATGAAAAAAGGAAACATGGCAAAGAAACTTCTTTATTTCAAATCAAGTTCTGGTTTTTAAAATTGAGTTGAAGTCATTTTTTAAAACAAGATAAGACTCTGGAAAATTTCCCAGGATTCCTGCTCTGAACATGCAATTACTTTTACACTGTCACATTTGTAGACATAGAGATAGGAACTGTTAAAGAATGATGGAAGGAATTCTCTAATTCACTGAAACCAAAATATTGACTAAAGACTGATTGTTTGGCTGATAAATTGTTTACAGAGCTTTAGAGATAAAGAACTACTCTAATAAGAGTTGCAGCTGTGATTAATTTTATGAAAAATTTTTGACGTGACCAATGGAAGACCCGCATGTTACACTCAATAGTTAAATGAATACAAAGGGTGAAATATTTGAATCCCATTACTATGTACTGATAACCTTATTAATCATGTACATTTCTCATAGAAGCATGTAATCTCATGTGTGATTCATATGTACAGGTACTATTTCCTTATAAGTTTACATCAGACTGTGAACTGAATTCCCAGAAAAAAATGACACCACATCTATGTTAAAGATGCTACAAACAAGGCAGGTGAAATGACTAGCACTTAGTGATTGCAAGAAGTTGGATGTTACAGGTCCAGAGTCACATTATTTTTGACTATTTAGTTCCTTTAACAGCCATTAATTGTTTTCCTCTGTCCAAACTAACACTCTTTCAACTATAAGGTAAAATCATTGGAATGTATTAACAGACTACTAGCTTGTGTCAAATGGAAATCCAAGAATGCCTTCAGATAATACCTAAAACCATAAGAGAGTTTTCCATGTCTGTCTCAATTTCCCACCAGTGCATTTGGAAAGTGACTTAATAGGAGTTTCTTTTGTTCTGTGACTATGAAGGTGAATGTAACCACTTCTACATTATTCAAGACATCTTGAACTTAGGTTCTCAGGTGTGGTCACCCAAGTTTGGATCAGAATAAATAATTTCTTATTTATTCTCTTTGAGACTAATAGTTAATGATAGAGATTTATAAAAGATCTAAGTCAGTGTTGCTGATAATATCTAATGATATGCTATCAATAAATGTACAAATATTATAAAATAATAGAAA